TTTTTTGAATCATAACATTAGCAGTAATTGACAACTAGTGCTAAGTTCAGAGATATCTCCGTCAAAGTTTTTCGATTATTTTGTTAGAAATTTCACCGATACATTAGATATTTTTATACTGATTGATCAAATGTAACAGTGTTAGTGTCCTTATTTAGGATCAAGAAACAACGTACACATTAGTCGATTAATCTTGTAAAACAATTAATCTAACGGGACATAAAATATTTTAGTAACCCATAAACAATCTAGATAAATTAAGAAAATAGTAATAACTTATATGTCAAAATGACAGGAGATAATCTGAAGATTTTGGAATAAAATCAACATTTATATAAGCAAAAGTTTTTCTTGAAATAGATTTAATAGTTCTTTGAGACTAAAATATAGCAATTCAACAAAAGTTAATATGAAAGATATGATAATATAGATACATTTTATACCGATTTAATATGAATTTCAAGAACAAATATGTTATATAAATCTTATGAATTGATTATTATCGAATGAAAATAGTGTTAGGATAGTTTTGATTGATATTTGTATAGTTTTATTCATTTGAAATGAGTTCATTCTAACTTCGAAAATGGCTACTACTCATTTACAAACACAAGAAAAATTGAGTTTAAGTATAATAAAATGGTCATAAATTTTCGGTTCATTAAAAAGTGGACAATTTTATTAGTTTTTTTTTGTGAAACGATGAAATTTGATCGTTTACTATTAATAGTTTGCTTAATGGGAGCGCATGTAGAAAATAAATTCTTTTAAAAAATCCTTAAAAAAACTTATGTCAAGATAAATTACTCTAATTTGTAGGAAACGCAAATGTTTGATTAACTCTTCTCCCACCTCTCTCCATAGACAACTGGAATTGCCATTTCTACCTCTAAGACATATGATAAGTGCTACGCGATAAATACCAACACAAGTTGCTGCCATTGAATAAGATACAATACAAAATTTTCACACAAATAAGTTGAACAAGAGATTGTTCGACATAAAATGGCAATTGCAGCTGCCAAAATTACTATGCACGTAGGGGAGGCACATCTGGTCGATCTGTTTATATCAGTGACTTACGGAAGAGGACAACACTCTACATCAATGGTTACTTTATTAGTGACTCTTCTGAAATCGTTCTGGAGGGCGAAGGTAAATAATTAAGAAATGTTTTCAATCGCAAAGTATTTCTAGCAGTGACTAGAGGCTATGAGATTTTAATAGTAAAAATTGAAGTCATATGTGGAAAGTTGTAGATGATATAAAGAAAGGTTTTTTCCGATAGTAATTATCAGGCGTTATATGAGATAAAATTAGACGTGTGTTTTAAATACTGTTAAAATACAGTATTGTTATCGGTTGGATATAGGCTGAGTTTTGTGAAAGTGAACTAGTGAGACATTTTAGATGGATATTGCTAAGTTGAATGGTATTCTGTTATTAAGGGTTTTATCGGAAATGTTGAGTCTTAGAAGAAAATTGTAGTAAAAAGTCGATATCACAGGAGAATCTTGATTTGGACCCATATCTTCTTAGGCTTTGTCAGTCTATGCATATCCTGCTGGGGGCAAAACTTTAGCTTAAAAGCTTTTTAGCACCTAGAGAGGTTCTCTAGTAAGTCGATAAATTTTCGATCGATCATCTGCGCCAGTGCGGGGTAAAGTGTATCAAATACTTGTACTTGCATTCTAATTTTAAACATGTGTACATGATGGCAGTTACCTTCGAGAAAAGATAACGGAATTGAATTATATGATTTGAACAAGTTGAAATTCGATTTAGAGAGAATTTCTTTGATTACGGTGAAAGGCAAACAATTAAAACATTGAGATTTGAATTAAATCAATAATCGATGAGAAAATCTCCAACTTTACTTGATGAACCTTTGTCGACATGTGCAATCGATTTCGATGAGCGACAAAAAAATAAAAATCAGACTGAATTCGTTCAGATGAGAGTTAGATGACTATAGATTAGTTTCATAATGAAATACTATCTTCTCACACAAGCAGTCATTTAAACGAACAAACAAAAAGAAAAAACGATAATGAATTCTAAGTGAACGCGCATGTAATTTTCTTGAGTGACCCACACCCAAAATTGGATTTTTTCGTTTTCTGAAAAACAACAAAAAATCATGAAAAAATAAGAATTTTAATTATCATTGTTACATATCAAGTGGTCCAGATTTCATAGCAATTTTGTTGTAGTCATTGATTTGTGTTATATATCAATTGAATGAACAAAACCATATCTATGTATAAATATAAATATATTTTTGTTTATTATTTTTTATATTATACATGCATGCTTCTTTTTTCTTTGTTCTGTCATAATCGGTGAATTTAATACTCGATCGCTGAACAGCAACCTTCATTCTATATACGTTGTAATGCACAGGTGTGCCATTTCTTAGCAACTTCTTACGATGGATAAACAGCATAGATTATCATTGATTAAGAGATGAAGTCTGCAACAAGTTCAAAATGTTCTTTATCAAATATACAAAAACGTATTGATGATTCAACAGAATATTATCCTCTTCTTGATTATTCATTTCGTGGAGCAGATAAAATTGAAGGTTTAAATTGATTTTTTTTTTTGTGAAATATTTATTTGATTGAGATTTC